CCCAAATTATAACTGTAAGTTATAACTCTATGTAAATAACACAAGAAAGTCTTTTAACAAAGGATTATTTGTTATTACATAACACACTATTTGTTAATTGTGTATATAAAAATGTCAGTGTCTCGTGTGCGGTGTTTGTTTGGTGCGCCTGAGACGCACTCCATGGGCTACACATAATATCAGCGCCATATGCTGAGTGGTGCGTATTCAGTATCTTTTATTTTAGTTTTAATGCACTCTTTATTTAGTAAGTGCAACTTTAAAAATGACACTGAATAAAATTTTCTTTTTTTTTCTTTCAAATGAGCTATCACAAACTAAGTTTGAATAACATAAAGGAATATGCTTGAACTAGTTGAACTAGTACAGAGTTGTGGCCAGGTGTTCAACAAATGTGTATAGTTTATTATTTGGTATATAAATAATAAAATTCCTCAATCAAATACAAAAAAATGTAGTGAAAAAGTGTATGTGCAAAAGAGTCTTGTGTGTTGTACTGGTATAAAAATAAAAATAAAAACATAAAAATGTTATATTCTCCAACATTATACTGTAAGGAAAATGTATTACAATGTAGCATTTGCTACATACTTTCTATTATGGTTTATCTCCAAACATCCAGTCTTTGCCACCAATACAGAGAAAGAATGATGGATTATTAGCACTCGGGATTTCTAGAAATATATATATACTGGCAACACAAGTGTAAATCGACGAAAATTAAAACTCCAACACGTAAAAAAAATAACACTATTGTACTGAACACTATACCTACTGTTCCTGAACTTCAAATTACACATCAAATCCAACACTAGCCATGAATAACTGCTTTGCATTTAATTTAGTTAATAATAGTACGTCTATTTCAATATCACAAGCTTAATATACATTGCGGGACATTGTTATAAATCTTAATAGTTTAAACATGTAGCCATTCAATTCATTAAATATAGTTCGAAATTATGAATAAAACATTATTGAAGTTTGACTAACAGATGTTTACTTACGACGGCTGGACTGTAAAGAAAAATATTCAGGTGTCATTCTCATTACATTAAATGAAAAAGAAAAAAATTACAATTTGTTCAATTCAAGCCTCAAGCATAATATCGTCTGCTTAAAGGGTAGTGACTTTTTCCCCAAAAAAAATCTCCAAATTATGTACCAGTTGTAAAAAATTATAAAGTTTATAGCTTTTTGCTATTGAGTTTCACGTGCAGAAAGATAGTGATTTTTTTACCGTAGCTATTATAAATTAAACACTTTGTGGAAAATTTCACTTATGTGGTTTTACCTTTAAGTAGACAATATATTCGTGTATTACGGAAGTCAATGAATGCACATTCTGTTTCAATGTAATAATTAATTATATTTTTTTTTTTGTAAAAAATAAGTTGCTTTTGACTTTCATCTCACCTGATGGAAAGTGATGATGAGGTCCACTTCATAGTATGCACACCTAATGCAATCCTGCAATGAAAAGTTTAGAAGTGTGGAATAAAAAAGAATAAAATTTTCAGATTTAATATTCGGGATTCCGCAGTGATACTACCTATTGTCAAAATTTTATGAGAAAAGACTAACACTTTTAGACTTTGCAGCTTTCTTATCGTTAACGGCATAGAGTTGAATTCAAATCTCAAGTGTCAGCTTGACGTGCTCTTGACCCTGTAGATCTTAGAGGATGGAAAAAAATAAACTAATAGTCTAAGCTGTAGATGTTGATATCGGAATGTGACTGTATATTAACTAATCAAATAAAAATGAACCTTAAGCGCTCAGTTACACGAGGCGAAAGATTTCGCGCGTGTGCCGCGCGGCGACCGCCCAATTACTATGCCTTTCTTGTATACACGCCAGCACATCAAGCTACACATTGACGTATCTTGTTCCGTTGCACTGGATGCGATTTTCGAACAAAAATGTGTAGTCTGGTGTGCGATTGTCCGTACATTAATGGCAAATCTGAATTTTATTTCCTAGGCAACAACACTTAAATTCCTTTGAACAATATAACCGCGCAGCCGCCGCAAAGACCAAATTCAAACCAGACTCGTCCGCGTGCCCGTGACGCTGATTTAAGAGCGCTCATGCTAAAAAAGTTTTGACGTTGGCTCCACACACACTCCCCGCTACCCGCACCTATCATTCGCCGCCCGCTACCCGTACGTCGCAGCGCAAACCGATCAAAAGCAATTTTCGCGCGCTTATCGTCGACCCGTAAACTTTGAATCCATAGAGTTAGTATTCGACTACTTAAAATTTTTATTACACTTTCTTATTCAAATAAACGTATTACGTATTTAAATATTTAACCCTAATTCTAAAGTACAATTTGAATAAAATGAGTTAATGCACCGCTAAATTAATTATTTTAATTTATTTTTTGCAAATTTTACAGCTTTTAAATTTGGTTTACAATTCTGAATAATGTAATTACATAGCCAATTACAAAGTTTGTCAGATTAAAATTTATTTGCTCCATTACTGTTGTGTTCTAGTAATTTTCAGTCGAAGCTAAATATGGTGCATATTGTTAAACTTCCAATATAAGCTGAATATGGTGGTGGTTTTTGGTTTTACTACAATGACGTTACAATTTAAATTAAATGTTTTAGTTTTTTTATATTTCGTTACATGTCACTACGTTTGTATAGGTTAACTTCGGACATTTTTTTCGTGGTTTTTGTATTAGACCCGTCGTCCATTTGTTGGTAGGTCAATGGCTTTTAAACTTGGTTTACAATTCTGAATAATGTACTTACATGGCCAATTACAATTTGTCAGATTAAAATTTATTTTTTTACGTTATGTAGTAACTAATTCGATGCCAGAACGAAGCGACTTAAAATATTGTTTATCAAAGAACAATGTAACAAATTGAAATATGTATTGATAACATATTATAACTGAATTCCGTTGTATTAATAGATTTAGACATTAATTTTTAATTACTATATTTTTTAAATGAAGCTACTTACTTACAATATAATAAACAAATGGATTAGAGTATGCGCATTTGTGTGTCTACATGTGTGAAGGTGTATGTGTATGTGTGTGTATATCTATGTAAATATCTGACAATTTTCTGCAAGTGTTTAAATTCTTTTTTATAGTTTTTTAGTTTTTTTTATTTTTCTAGGGAAGCCAAACGCCAAGGCTGAAATAATTCATGTCAATTAAAATACAAATTGATAGAAGCCATGCAAAAAATTTCAACCTATTAGCATATTAGAATAGACTAGGTTCAATGTAAACATTGAAGAAAAGGAAGAGAAAATACGTTCTACAACCACAAGTTACCAATTCTCTCCAGACGTGATGTTACTAACACCAATATTGAGATCAAATTGATTTTTTGGGATATTCAGATCCCAAGATCTGTGACTACATTATTCAGAATTGTAAACCAAGTTTAAAGTAGGTCAATTGTAAAAGCTGTAAAATTTGCAAACAAATAAATAAATTTAAAATTTAGCGGTGTAAGCTCATTTTATTCAAATTGTTCTTTAGAATTAGGGTTAGATATTTAAATAATACGTTTATTTGAATTATGAAGTGTAATAAAAATTTTAAGTTGTCGAATACGACTCTATGGATTCAATGTTTACGGGTAGACGATAAGCGCGCGAAAATTACTTTTGATCGGTTTGTGCTGCGACGTACGGGTAGCGGGCGGCGAATAGGTGCGGGTTGCGGGGAGTGTGGGTGGAGCCAACGTCAAAACTGCTTGGCGGCAGAAATAGGTAAGGTGGCAGTACTTCCCTGGACGAACTCTTTCACTAGGTGTTTAGTAAAACACCAGTAGCTACTAAAACTGCTTGTAAGTATTAATCAACGTAATTTGTTTACAGGTCCATAATCACAATGAATCTGCCGGAATTTAAAAGACTACTACTGCAGTTCTTCACAGCGATGCCTTTGGTTAGTATAATTTCTGTAGAATTTACAGTCATACATACATAAAGTTACACAATTAACATAATGTTCATTATGCTGTGATTACAAAAGTTCCATCCAGTTCCGTGGCAATGTAAACTGAGCCTAAACATCTATGGTAGAATTCCTTTACCTAACAAATTACATCTTTTTGCAGATATCATTAGTAAATAACGTATTAAAATGGAGTATAGGAGAAACGAAGTTACGTATCCGAACTAATCTCACGCTACATCTATACCAACAGTATCTGAAGTAAGTAAAAATGATATTTTTTTGTAATCTGTTAATCACGTGCAAATGATAAGCGAGTATTTGATGTAGGAATTAATCTATCTAATTACTTTTAGGCGGCAGATTTGCTACATTTTCGCTTTTGCAAAGTAGCAGTTGTAATGCGGTTGTATGTATTATTTGGTACAATACAATAGGAAATGAAACTAATTTTTCAGATCTAAATCGCGTCTTTTTTTTCTGTTGATTGTCATCCGTGACCATGGGACTTATAAAGGGCCCGAAACTTTTGGTTTGTTTGAAATATAGGTGAATAGGCATTTTTTAGGTGTGCATGCTACATCCTAGACCTCATCGTCACTTTCCATCAGGTGTGATGGAGGTCGAATGCGCACTTATTTTTTATATAAAAAAAGTGTAACAAACGCGAAAACCTAAAAACTCGTTAAATACAATATAAATTTATTTATTTTTCTCCCTTTAGCTTACAAACACATAATTTAAAGATAAAACCCACTAACTACTCCACTATACTATGGTATCTCCACCCCACGGATATGATAGTGCAATTGTTAAAAATTGCATATAGAACTAAACACAAGTAGGGTTACCATTTCGAAATTTGAATACTCCGGACAAAAAGTCTGATATTTGGAAAAAAGTCCAGACATTTTACTAAATAAAATTGAAAGTCTGTACGCACTACGCCCGAGATGGGCATCAAACCCACCTAAAAAGATCACGAAACCGTCGTGTGTTTTGTTTTTCTTATTTTTATTAGATCCTAGTGATAACCCTTTTGTTATCCAGATGTTATTATTTTACTTTATATTCCGAAAATTGTTACCCTAAGCCGATAAATCCAGACAGAAGGTCAAAATGCCAGACAAATACAAAACGACGGTAACTGTACGTACAAGCTAAAATAAATGGCATTTATATTTAGTGTCATGTAATTATTTTTTTATCTTACATTATCTCAAATATTATTTTTCGAATTTCGTCGCTTTATTAAGAGTGCAACATGATACTCTTAATGCGAATTCGATGCTTCATGTAAATGTTGTTGTGTTCCTTAACAGAAAAAAGACAGGCAAACAAACATGGCTTTACATTTTTTTTTAATTATTACCAATTTTAATCCAACAAAAGTGGTCAAGTCATTAGTCGTGATGGAGTCGCAATTCAATCTCAAATATAACTACGCTCTACTAAACAAAAATATTGTTATAAAACCCACAAGGGCTTCGTTTTCATCTTCTTCCATTAAGCACTTTGTACAACGTATTTTGAAAGGAAGAAAGATTGGAAATGAAACTATTGTTCCGGATTTAAATCGCGTATATTTGTTTTTTCAAACAAACCGACGCTTCGGGCCCTTTACAGGTCCCATGGTCACGGTTGACCGTGTCAACCGTGATCGGTTTGTTTGGAAAAACAAATATACGCGATTTAAATTCGGAAAAATAGTTTCATTTCATATGTGTAACAATCGCGAAAACCTAAGAACTCGATAGGAAGAAAGATGTTTACACGTTGTCTACCAAGACACAACAAGCATTAACTTAGACTTTAATAACAGAGTAGGGTTCGAAATTATCGAAGTAAAAGTCAAATAATCTTTATTTCATGGATAAGCAAATTACACTTAAAATCGTCATACTGATTAAACTCGCCTGCTCATTCGTAAGGCAAATTCCCCTGAGAAGGAAGATCAAGATACTCTAGGGGTTGCTTTTTTTAAATATACATTTGAATACATTTATCATTACAATATTTAATTTAAACATCTTAGATCGAGAATACCTGACAGAGCAAAATCGGGTCACCAAGGATTTTTGTCATCCAAATACGCAGAAGTTGTATAATAACCGTTAGTATAAAGTTTTTGTTTCACAATAGTTTTAAATCTCGTAAATGACAAATTTTGAATATCTTATTATAGAAGCGTATACATTGCCCCTTAAATGAATTTGATACAGCTAGTTTATTTTTATTCCTCGTATTAATGTTATGTCTGTCACTATTTTTCATAAAAATATTAAATTTTTTTTATCTTCTCAAGATATTATTAAATAATTATCAGTGCTGATATTAATACTTTTGTCTCTTTAATTTTTGACTAAAAATGACAAATGAGAAAACTAAATAAACAAGAAGAAAAATCTTGTTTTATGACTTTGACGAATGTGAATTGCATGTCTCGTGTCTATACATATATCTAGACCGGGTTTCTTAGCCTTGTTCTAGTCATGCACCCCTCTCAAAATTTCAAAAACCCCACCCGAAAGGTGAAGAATGACTTTTTGCGGTGTACGGATAAACCTACGCAAGTGTTTGTTGTGCCGTTTACATTAATAAGGTAATAAGTATTAGAAAAAAAAAGTTAAAAGATAAGCATTCTTTTTATAAATTTGTAATAATAAATAACGCGATGGTCACGTGCACTACACCTCACAACATATTGTATACCAATTTTTATATGTTAGGTACGCTCGTCATGGACCCCCGGCGTTCATAACACGGACCCCTTAGGGGTCCATGGACCACAGGTTAACAAACTTTGATCTAAACATATACGCAATAGCTCGATTGTTATAATAATCCCCAAAGCGCGAGTTACTTTGTTTCATTTGGAGGGTTTGGGCTCCTATAGTAGTTTTTTAAAAATCAACCACAAATTATTCGAAGAAGCTACTTTTTTTACGTTGAAGTTTACGGGGAACACATAATCGTAAACTTTTATCGAGTTCTTAGGTTTTCGCGATTGTTGCACAGGAAATGAAACTACTTTTCTGGATTTAAATCGCGTATATTTGTTTTTTCAAACTTTTTTGTTTTTTTTACCGTTTTTTGTTTGAAAAAACATATATACGCGATTTAAATCCGGAAAAATGGTTTCATTTCCTGCGTAAACTTTTTAGACCTATGTCTGAATGACTCATGTTAGTATTTGGCTGATTTTTTGTGAACTTGTGAAATCCTATGACACTACGCATAACAGAACATCTAGACCAGAACCAATACAGAAAGGCTTGTTTCCTCAATTGGGCATCGAACCCGGAACATCTTCATCAAACGCTCATAGTGATAACCGCTATCCTACCATCTGTTAACTTGCCCGTACATGTTTATCAAGTCGGGTCACAGTTTAGGTCTAGATTTTGCATTTATAACGTCACTTTTAGGTTTTTTTCTGTATAATAACATAAACAATAATTGTGTCTGAAAATCTAGAACGATAATGTGTCACACGTTTGTGCCACAAACTAGAATAATATTGTGTTTATTACATTAAGATAACATTGGTCTAATCGTAAGTATCGATTACGATCACTATCACGTATGTATAAACTTCGCAAATTTTTGTGCGAGCTAATGCACCGGTTTCCGTAAACAGGTTATTTTATGCAATCGTTCAAAACACCATTAGCGGTATTCCTGTATTCTAGCTGTAAGACATAAAATAAAATAGGCTTTATTAAGCAAAACACATAAACTACAAACAGTTATAGAATTTAATAATGAAATATTAAATCAAAATAAAAAGCAATTGTTTGAAGACTTCGGTTGACCCAATGGAAACCCATTTCCGGTAGGGTCTATTTGAGCTGTTCTAAATTGGTTTTGGACTGGGTGGTGCTTCGGAGTTCCGTCCAGGGTTCATATAAACTCGTACATTACAAAAATTCCCGTGGCCGGAACGCTTCCGCGGTCGCCTCAGTGTGGCCAGAGTAGAAGTCCCTACCGCTGAGTGTGTCGCCGACAGTGCAAGCGCTCAGACAAGTTTTTAATTTACATTACAATCCTTGTAATACAACCCAAGCATTCAGTTCCGCACGACTGCATACGGTCAACATTATTTTCAGCTCTATGAGCGCGTGCATAAGTTCCTTTTTCCTTGTAGTGAACGACGGGCGTAATTAGTCAGATTTAGTAGGCTATTATAGCGCAAGTATTTTCCATTGTATGAGAGTGACGTATCTGTTACGTAGTAACTATTAAGTAATCTGTGCTAATATTACCTGGCATGCCGAGCTCCCATCGTCTGCAAACCCGCACTCGGCGTCTTGAAACCTGCTGAGGCATTCCAGAGGTTGCCTCAGCAGATAATTGGCTCGATATCCTTAAAGCTTACTGCAGCTTTCTTTTTGTAGCTTTTATCATTGAGATTTCGATTACAATGTCATACAATTTGTCATACAATTGTCGCATAAAAATCACTTGCCGTGTCGTCCTGCTTGCCGCTTGTGGATGCCGGGCCTAAGAGCCCGTGTACACGGCGTATTTCATCGCGCCAATCTCCGCATATGCGCGCTGCATACGCACTGTAGTCGCGCGTATGAATAGCGCATTTTACTAAAAGATAGTTTTAATTTTAGTTTTGTTTGTTACTTTCAGGTAGATTTTTGAAATGAAGTAACTACATGAAATTCTAAGTGTAAACTCCAGTGGAGTATGTAGCTTTTTGCTTGCAACGCGATGTTTGCTCGCGTTTGAGTCGATTCACTACAGCGCGTCTGCTACGCGTGTATGCGCAGATGACGCGCGTTTACGGCGCGTATAAACTACACCATGTGCTCTATAGGCTCTCCCATAGAATCTAAGCGTCTTTCTTTATCCATCTTTGTCACTACATCCTCTCACACGCCGCAATGCTCTCTTATTAAACTGCCCCGCAATTTGTCCATCTGAGTCACGCCATACATCTCAAATTTAGTATTTCAATATAGATAGGAATCACTGTGCTATTCTTCATATAGTTGTTGTCCTAAAGACCGTTTTATTAGGCGTAATCGCGAGCACTTGTGGCTTACGATCTTATCTCCCACTTCCGGCCCCACATTTCCGTTATTAAGGACACTTTCGTGCGCTTTCATTGACTTACAGCTGGCTTTGTTTTATTTCATCACTCGTTGGTAAGATTTAAGATCCTGTGAATTTTGTTGCCTGCTTACTTATAGTACATTTTTTTTAGTTTGAGATCAAATATGATTGTCCGATATTTTTTTCCAAGGGAA